TGCAGGAGCAACATGCTTAGGAGAGCCACATGCAGGAGAAACGCGAGTGGGAGAACACTACACAGGAAGGCCACATACAGAATTACTAAGGTGCAAATGAGGCTGCATTCCTTAAGCTCCCTTCCCTCAACCCGGAAGGCGGGCCTGAGAGCTCCCTTCCCTCAACCCGGAAGGCGGGCCTGAGAGCTCCCTTCCCTCAACCGGAAGGCGGGCCTGAGAGCTCCCTTCCCTCAACTGGAAGGCGGGCCTGAGAGCTCCCTTCCCTCACCGGAAGGCGGGCCTGAGAGCTCCCTTCCCTCACCGGAATGTGGACTTTCATGGATTAAAATCCACTTAATCTGAGGCTAAACACAAAGCCGATGACGAAAGGGCTGTTATTCAACGCAGTTTTACTCGCTGTTTCCAGTAAAAACATGGATTGCGAGTGTGCCTCCTCCACTTTTTCCATTCTCCACCTCTGACTGCACAAAGGTGACCTGCAGTTCCCACACTTCATGACGATTAACCATTAAACCCGAATAAAATCCAATATCCAAAGCCCACATAGAGACCAAAAAAATCCACCCTGCAGGAATCCACAGAGCCAGAAACATACAGCAACCCCGTCAAATTCACGGTTTTGGTCATTGGTGAGTTAGTTGTGAACGATTAAAACAGGAATGTTTTGGAACTTGCCGAAAGATAGCAGAAACTCGTAGGCAACACATAAGCAAAAAACAATGCTGAAAATGATTTGGATCACATATATTAATATGATTGATGCCTGCTATATCTTTAATATTAAAAGTCTCACGTGTTGGCAGTCTTCGTGACCGTGGAATCTCACAGTAGCTTCTAGTAAATTCAGCGCTGTTCATTTTGCATTGTTAACGTGTCCAAGACGTAGTGCTCCCAGTGCATACAGTAGTAACTTTGTACATACAGGGGGCATAATTTGGATGGCTTGTTAATTATTTAAAAAGATCTTGCTAGGAAACGACAACGTACTTTAACATGCAAAGTGTACAGCACAATATAGTTTCTTTAGAAATTGGTAATACAGTGGCACCTCAGTTCTCGAACTCAGTAGAACTTTTAAATTTCTTAAAAGTCGAACCAGCCAGAACTACCTATAACTCGATCTGAATCTCAGAAGTCAAACCGTGAATGCCGACATAAGATAACTTGTACGCGCGGGGAAATGAGTCACGCAGCACGTCTCTCAGTGGAAACAAAGGGTAACGCTTCAGTCTCAGCCTCGCATTCGCTGTGATAGCATTGTGCATGTTTACACTAACTGAATACATATACTTAGACAGTAAAAATACATTTAGACAATGATAGACAGTAACTATTTGATAGTAAGTAATTATTATTATATAATAAAATACATTTAAAAATAAAGATTTCTTATTATTTTAATATTAATAATAAACCATTAATATATTTAATTATAATAATATTGTTGTGCCGAGCGGGGACAGAACGGAGACAAAGACGCAGACGTCAGGGTATCAGGGAATACGGGGTTTAATTACAGGTAAGGCAGGCAAAACGCAGACGGACAATACAATGACCGGACTGGGGAAACAAACTGAAACGCGGACGAAATACAGAGGGCTAATAAAAACAACCAAAAACAGCTGATCACACGGGGATTCCATATGGGGTTAATGAGGGGGTGTGGCACACGGAAGGAGCGGACCATCGTGGCAGGACACATTGGTTTTTTTTTTTTTAACTATACACATTGTTTGGGTACATTTATTTTCTTACCTTACAAATTACCGTTTTTATAAATGTGCTTAGATGTGTTTAGTACAGTATATGCTCTTTTTGTTTTATCCGGTTCATTTTGTGTTTAAATGCTAAAAAAAAAAAAAAAAAATCATATTTAGGTGTAATTTTTGGGGGCCGGGAACCAATTAATTGGTTTTCCATTATTTCTTATGGGGAAAATTCGGTCACAACTCAAACTTTTTAGGATTCGATCCGGAGTTCTGAATGGATTAAATTTGAGTTCTGAGGTACCACTGTACTTACGTTACTGTTCAGGCTAGCAGACTTATGGATTGTCCTATTCAGGGTTGCAGGGAGTCTGATGCCTATCCCAGACGCTACGGGAAGAAGGCAGGGAATAATGTGGGATGGGGTCCCAGCCCATCACAGGGCACACTCACACACCAACCCCTCACACATGAAACCCCCACTGTAACACAGGAAGAACAGGGTTGAGACTCAAACCTCTGTCCCAGAGGTATGAGGCAACAACACTAACCACTGTGCCACCCTGCTGCCGCCATTCGCATGTTTGTTTGTTTAACAGATGCTTGTATCCAAAGTGAAACAATTTTCAGAAAACAGGGTCAGCCAGTCCTTGGAGCAATTGGGGGGGTTAAGGGCCGTGCAAGGCCCCAGCAGTAAAAAAATCACACTCTGTTGCTGGGATTTGAACTAGCGACCTTCTGGTCACTGCGACAGTGGGCTGACTTGCTGAGCCACAAATCTGAGCCCATCGTGACTCCAGCAAGCACCTGAAAGTGACACCCTGAACCACGTGTTGTAACCAAACCACCCAGGCTGTACTGAGGGTGCTACAGGTCAGCTGGGCCAGGGAGCCGGTCCTCGGTCTGCGTCTCATTCTAAGCAGGCAAAAGCAGAGCTGGCGCTGTCAGAACGAGCTTCTGCATTTGACAGCGTGTCTGAAGCACCTGGAGAGAGGTGGGCAAGAAACCCACCCCCACCCCCTTATACAGCTCGACAGCATCTCCTATTCTGGGAGGACTCACCCAAAGAAACAGACATGTGGTCACAAGAGCTGCTAGCCCATGTGCCGACACACTCGACTCGCTCTGGAGGATAAGTCTGTGGTACGTTTTCATACGACTGCTTGATTGTGGTAAAAATCATAATCCCGATCATTTTGGTCAGTATTAAGATCACAATTATTTAACACGATTACTCACTGACTTTGGAAATATTGTGCATTTATTGAACTTTTAAAAAACTTGTCTTTTTAACAGTCACATTATCATTGGGCCCTTGAGTAAGGCCTTTAACACCCCCCCCCCAAAAAAACATTGCGGAGCTGCTGCAATGAAGACAGACCCTGCACTCAGACCCCAAACTTCATGCTTGCCTCTTTGTGTGTCTTAAAGAGAGCAAGATAGGATATGAGAAAACTGAAGAATTCCTATATATTGGTGCAAATAGCAAATAAAACTCGATTTCTCTGCCCGAGCCTCTCCTTTACGGTGATCGCCATCAGCCTTACTGCCGTCACCACTTTCTGCTCGGTGACCGCTGACTGTAGGTAAGGGGCCTGCATAGAGTGCACTGTAATCTCGGCATTACGTAACACGCCGTGGTGTTTATTATGGGTACAGGCAAACCAAATAGGGCCAAAAGAAAGATATGACAGGCATTTTTAGCCGGCCCGTGGTAAACACTTCCAGACAAGTGGCGTCCCTCCCATTTCTCCGCTCTTTACAAGCGTTCGTGTCTCTTCAGGCCGTGCGACTGACGTGCTCAGACTCGTTCCTGAAAATGTCAGCAATTTTTTCCCCTCTTGCAATATAAAGTGCAGATAAGATCTTGCAAAAATTCCTTCCTTCCATCCACACAAGCAATCAAGTTAGACCTGATTATTTTTTTAATCTAAATTATAATGCTTATTTTTAAATGTACATGCATGCATTTTCTCTGTAGAAGCCCTGTAAGACACCAAAAACACCCTGCTAGAGCTTCTGGCTTCGAGATCCGGCTGTTGCGCTAACAGCAGACCCAGCACAAGGAGGATTAGAGAGGCATCTGGGTAGGTCCCAGTTCTGCCCGACTCACTTTACGGTTTCTGTAACACTAACACACGTCTCGCCCGAAAGGAAGCTTTTAATGTGGTGTGAGGCGGCCGTTTCAGGGCAGATATGGTAAAAATACAACCATCCATCACGCCTGCCAAACTGACCGTTGGCTAATGAACCGCAGACAGAGAAGTTCCTCAAATGTGCAGCAACTTCAAGCAAAAGGAACCAGATGACTGAATCCTTTTATAATTATTATCCTTTACAGCAGAAACACACTGACTTTTTGGGGACAGAGGTGACACTTTTTGGGGACAGAGGGGAGATGCCAACTTTTAGGGCGCAGAAGTGGCACCCAGACTTATTTCCCAAGGTGGCTGTGCATTTCCACACCAACACTAAGGAACGGCTGATGATGCACGTTTCCAGCACAGAAACTGGACCGAACCGACCACAACCACAGGACACACATGCACAGATATTCAGACTGCCACACACAAACACAGACAGGGGTATCGGAGGGCCCAGCACTTGACCGAGGCACTTGCAACTGATAAATTGAATATGTAAAACTGATGAAGGTGGTGTGGCCACTATAGACAGATAAACAACCTAACCGTTGAACAACTCAAACAACCCAATTAGTACATCTAACTATATATAGCAAGTAACACACTAATGAACACTATTAATACAAAAATATGCACTCGTGTGATCGAGGGAAAGCAACAGGGAGGACAGAGACGGTCCCTCATGAAGATGGCAGTGCTAGTCAAGGTAGATGTTGGAAGGGAGCGAAGACGCAGGGCATCACCAAACTGCAATCCACAGCAAGAAGATACATGCGAGGGGAAACACTACCACCACCCAAAAGACTGCCCTAAACGCAAACAAGCGTCAGGCGCAGAATCAATCCAAACAATCACCCTGTCAGACACTGGGAGTAAATTATCCGCAGGTTTCTCCCAAATTAGCTCAGATTGACTTTATGGATCCCTGGGGGAAATTCTTGTGCACACAGCAGCAAACACATAAGCACGAGTAAACAAATTAAAAGTACACAGAACACAAACAGAATCCTGAAAAGCGGTATATTAAGGAATGTCAAAGCACAAGTAAGTGCACTGTTAGTATATGGGGGCTAAGTGATGGATTTGAATGACACGTAATCGGTGCAGATTAACGGCTGCGGAAGCCTGGGCCAGTCCGGCCGGCGCCTACCTGTGAGCCGCGGTAGCTCGCACAGCTCCGGCAGGCTGCCCTGGCTCCGGAACTGCGAGGAGCCCTGCGAGCGGCGCTGCTGCCTCTGCGCCTTGCGCACGGATTTCCGCGTGAAGCCGTCCACCTTCTCCGACGCAGACACTGCCGACATTTTGCAGCGCTTTTTTTTTTACAGAACACTAAATAAAAACAGCACTAAATAATAAGACACAAAATAAAAATAACAAAAAAACACACCGCGGTGGTTCTACCTACGCATCCAGTCGCGGGTAACAATTACGGGGCGCCGCGTATTATAATATACATTAGAGAAAAACAACAACAAAAAAAAAACTGCTTAAAGTCCCAAAAACAGTTGAGCTCCTGCTGCCATTGGAGAAGCCGCTCCGGCACTGGGGCACAGACGCGATAAGACGAATCCGCCGGTAAATAAGATAGGGGGAGCCAAACTCGGGTCCGATCCAGTACAGTAGATCCACAGGTTCTCTAAAAATTTTGAAATATATATGCGCCAAAAACCGATATTTTACATGCGGAATAGTAAACAGTCCAAAAGTGAACCGGCTCCAGGTGATTAGTTTAAAGCACTCGAAGACCAGCTCCGGGACAGTCGCAGGTGCCGGTTAAACACGCCGTCCTGCGGCGCAAGCGTCCGTCTTTAATCCCCCTGAGCCCGCTTATTTAGGGTAAAAGTTACAGGAAAAAGCGGTATCAGACCGAGGCAGCCTGGAACCACCAGCAAAGAGCACCTGACGGGCCACCTCCCGCGCGCGAAGCCGGTTGCATGTTCATCTTTAACGCGCCTTTGGATAATCTCCGAACTCCACCGGCCAGATCAGACACTTCGAGGCCACGAAGCACACAGCGCGCCGCTCCGGGCTCTCAAACGCCACCGAGCAGCAAGCCCGAGTAGCGAACCGCCGCCGACGCGGCGCACCTCGCCATTGGGCGCTGTATTTGACAGGCACTCTAGCCGTCCAATCAGAGCCTGGCGCCTAACAGCACAAGCCAACGGTACTTAACTGCGTACCGGGCCCCGTGAAATGTGTGCAGGAGCCGCGTTGTACACAATGACACGAACGGAGGCGGTGGAAAGTTAGCATTGTAAGCACATTGTAAATACATAACCACGGAAGCATGATAAATGATCCTAGTAGACAATAGGAAACGGTGTATTTGAGTAGACTTTTTCAAAGGGATATTGGAATGAGACATCCAAAGGTACAGTCTGTAATCCGACACAGTAGAACAACTGGTCTTAACAGGTGTGAATTGCTCAGCACTGCATATCTCTGAAGTGTAAATAGCTGTACTTCACATTCCACTTACTACAAAGCCAGACACTTTCCTCAGTCATTCAGGGCAAACAAAGCAACTTTTGAGAAAGTGTGACCTACATCACATATACAGCATGAAAGATAGTCAAGCAGAAATTTGAGAGTTTTGAAGAAGCAGCTTATCAAGATGCCATACACACATGAATTACCAATTAGTAGCCAGTAACGAGAAGCCCACATCAAACGAGTCACATGAATTAAACTTTTAAAATGCAACCACAGGTTGAGTTCAAAATGTTTACCATGATATGTCAATTGTGTCCTGTTTGTATGAAGCCAACGAAAAAAGCATAGTATATGAATGTGTCCAGAGAAGATGACACACGATGATACAAGCACACAGCCATACTGTCAGCCTATCAATAGTGCATTGTGAGGGATTTAACTAGAAATAGCCAGTTACTTCATAAAAATACCAGAGATCTTTTCCCTCTGATAGTTGCACTGGCTACCGCAGAGTTGTGATTCAAGAGTAAGTTAACAGTAACTTCCAGTCATCGAGAAATCACCCAAAAAGGTACATTGACTGGTGAAGAAATGGGCAGATTAAAGAGCAAATGCAAGTAATTTGATCATAGTTCCACTGCTATTTAATCATCAGATAATTCAAACAGCATCTGTAGTGCAAATTTACATAAAAATGTAACAAATCCGAGAATATGTACATATACACAAAAAGCAAGCAAAACATTTGCACAAGAACATTTCAGACATTAACTGGTCACAGCTACGATGATACTTTCAAACGGTAATTTAAGAGTGTACATGAAGAGTCACAGCAACCTAAAAAAACACTGGAATGTTCCATTACAAGTTTCCCAGGAGATTGAGCCTTTAGTCACGCTTAGAGCTCCCATACCAAAAAAATAAAAATAAAAAATAAGAACTTCTGTCAAACTTCGAAAATAAATCCTTAAAACAGATGAGCATGTATAAGCTCCAAGCACAGGGAGTAAAAATCACTTTCATATAAACAATCAGTAAAATGTTTCCAATATCACCTCTCAAAATGAAATGCTATTTTTTCCCCACATACTTTTGTCAGATGTTGTTGGTGCATATATATTCTATTCAGCAGTGATACATTTTCCTTTTTGGTAGTAGAAAGTAGTAGAGGCTGTTAAGGTGATCACTTTTTCAGCACGCAAAAATGTCCACGTTCAAAATTAACACAGCCTGCTATTTAAAAGCACTTCCAAAATAAAAACAGGCTAAAAGACACATGGTTTAAGGAATGTCTCACAAGCCCAAATGGGAATAAGTGACCAGCACCCACCATGCACCACTTCAGCACCCACTGCTTGCATGCTAGGTCAAAAATCAGCAGGACAACAAGTTCTCGAGGGCAGAGAGGCAAGAAGCACTGCCCCTCTGCAGGGATGTTGCCTGGGGGAGGAGGGGCCACGGAGCTCGAACAGGTGGACTGGACCACTCTGCCTGAAGGGGCCTCCCAGGTCGTGGATCTGCCCAGCAGACCACCCCAGGAGCTCACTCTGGGTTTCTTCTCTGGAAGTACGAGGAGATCTTCTTCATGGAACCCGGAAGGCGTGCCTGAAATAGGCAAAAATACAGAAAATATAAAACCAGGCATGGTCTTGGTGGGCGGCAATTTGAGGACTCCCCCCCCTATTTCCTCAGTGGTTTAGCCAAAGCTGAGGACGAGCCTTTAGCTCATGAGCACAGCCCCTCCCCCCATACTCCTCACAGCCCCCGTTCGCTGATAGAGCGCCCCCTACCGGAGACGTCGGGGGCCGGGAATGCGGCTTCCTGCTGCCATTCAGGATCCTAGCCGGGGACACACTCTCGGGATTGCTCCTCAGCTTCTGACCCAAGGCGGACAGCCAGTCCACACTTGGCGGGATGCTGTTCTCCTTGTCGGCTCGCACAGAGGTATAGGGCGTCCGCTCCTCACCGCGGGCTGTTCCCTGATTCTCAGGAGGTGAGAAACAGCACAGCTCCGCTGGTCCACGGCTCCGCTTGGCCACAGGGTGTGGCTCAGCGGTAAGGTCGCAGGCCCCGATGCGGTCTACCTTCTCATCCCCGTTGGTCTCCAGGCGGCGCTTGACCTGGCCTTTGGCTTCGGGGGAGGGGGCCAGACCTACGCCCTGCGAACTAGAGCCAAGGACCTTCCTGGGGGCGCCGGGCGAACCCGAGACACGGGAGAACCAGTCCTGGATGGAGGGGGATGAAGCCGGCGTCGGTCTAGGGCTGCTGGCTGAGCGTCCTTTGTTGCCGGGAGTTAAGGGAGTGGTGGGTGTGTTGGATGGCAAGGGCAGGTCAGCGCTGCTGGGGGCACAAGCTGCCAGCCGCGGGGACGTCAGCCCCCTGGGGCCCTCTGTTGTGGGTCTCTTGCCCGGGGTGTGCTCAGAAGCACTGACAGGACCTGCACAAGATTAAAGGGAGTGTGGGCCTCCACGAAGAACCAACAACACAGCAGCTCTGGATGAGGAACATCAGCAGACACATGAATGTCCTGTCTTGGTGCTTCTGGATCTCAGAAGCAGCCACATGTAACCCATGAAGCTCAGAGAGGCTCAACCGTAAATTGACCATCGAGTTCGAAGTTTACAGCGAAGCTTAGATCATAGTAGCCTGAAAGAACATAAAACCTCCATGCGCAGCCATGATGGAAGATAAATGAGAGAAGTACACCAACCACAGAGCTTCTCTTCGCACGGCAGTTTCTGATAGGCTCTCCCCACCAGGTTGGCCCCCCCACAGGACCTCGCTCCATCTTCTCCACGGTTTAAGCGCCACACCCGTATGGTGTTGTCGTCTGAACAGGAAGCAATCTGCCAACACAGATCTGAGTTCACATGTGCCTGTGTTCCGTCACATCTACACATACAGTATGTTCCCTGCTTCAAAACTTCCGAGGTTCAGGATACTGCACATAAATGTCACGAGTCAGAGAAAGTCCCGTTTGAGTCTGGCACACTACTCTGAAAGCTAACATCATGGATCTCCAGGACTTTGCTCCAAAGGTAACTCACTGAACATGAGCACAAAGGCCGAAGTCGCATGATGGCAAAGAGCACCACCAACCCAGCAGAAACGGCCTCGTCCACAGGAATCTTAACAATTCACATCCACATAGATTAGAGTGAGTGGGAGGAAGAAGAATCACCTTGGTGAAATCTGTGGGACACCACATCACTGAGGTCACTTCCTGGCAATGGCCTTGCAACGTCATGGGGGAACTTCCTGGATCAGAAATCTGGCACGGAAAAAAACCCGGCAATTTTATCATCAGTGTTCACTCTAGGGGGGCGTGTCAAACTCCAGTCCTGGGGGGCCGGAGCCCTGTGTATCTTAGTTCTTTTCCTGTTCCACTACAAATAATTCAGCTCAAGAGCTGTGTGGGAATTAGCACAAGGAGTGGAATAAGGTGTGTTAAATGAGGGGAAGCCCAAAAATGTGCAGGGCTAAGGCCCCCCTGAACTGGAGTTTGACACCCCATGCTCTAGGGAATTGAAAAGATGTTCAGATGTGGGGAAAATTGTCCTTTTTGGAAACCAGGGTCACCCCAGGAGAGCTCAGTGTGACGAAGAAGCCTCTCACCTTCCAGATGTAAGCCTGATGGTCACTCGAACCGCTGGCCAGGAACTGGTCATCTGGACTTAAAGTGGACTTGACGTAGAAGGAGGAGTTTAGATGACCACTGAAGACCGCAACTGAGGAAAAGGGGGGAGACACAGCATTTACACCGATTCCACTAAACATACAAACGACATGAACAAAAACAAGGCACCACATCTGGAAAAAACATAATGTGCATTTGGCCACATATGTTGTTTGAGACTTCTCTTTACCTCAAAATGAAAAGTGCCAAAATGTGAGTCATTTTATATTGTGGGCAAAGAAAACTACCCAAATAAACAAAGGCGAGAAACTTTTAACTGCCGGATCTAATCCTGAAACCCATGCAGCACACAGGAAGGAGGCCCAGCCCAGCCTCCAGAGGAGCCCCGTCACACACGACACCCGCCACAGGATCAGGAAAAGCCTGCCGGGCCACATTCCGACCAGATGCCGGGGAAGGCCAGGACTGACAGCTGCAGCGCGGAGGTACAGGGGCGGAGAGCAGAGAGAGAGTGTGACGGCAAGGGCGGGGGCGCGGTGACACTCGGCCCTGGGAAGAACTCGCATGGACACCCTCCACCCGCAGGGTTCCACAGAGGTGGCATCTTAAGATGAGTAACTCTTATGAGGGAGATCACCAGGCATGTGGGAACCAAGCCCAAACAAAGGCGTCTCACATTCCTATCCTAAAACATGAGATGTTCCTACAGTATCCTACTGCCCCCTACTGGAAAGTTTTCTCCATGTTATCCCATTTCAACATGGCAAACTGGCATGCTGGCAGGTCACTTAAGGTGCATCCACTGTATCGGGCAGCATGGTGCTGCCACCCCCGGGAGCTGAATCATTCATGCCATACAAGGGCAACAGGAGCTGACACTGTAGACAATATCAGGAGCCCAACAATCAATAAAGATGGTCATGTGACTTAAGCCAAGACAGACCATTGGCAGGATAACTTTTGGGCAGCTTCCTGGAGCACCACTCACCCTGGAGATTAACATGGGTCTCCCAGGTTACAGTAACTAGCACAGTGCTAATTTTCCATGTCAATGACCCTACAGCACCATCTAGTGTGTAGAGACAGGCCTCTTCTATATGACATAGAACGATGAACTGCAGTGATAGACAAATGGATGGAACAAAGAGCCTGAAGTAAAAATGAACTGAACAAAACAGTTCAGAACAACAATTCAGATTGTTTGTTTTTTTTTTTTACCTGGAGTTGTTTTGAGTCCCGCAATATTGAACATGTAAATGTTGTCATCGGTGCAGTTTGAAAACAGATTCGCAGAGCTGGAATCCAGAGTGAGTCCAGAATAACCTGCAATGCAGAAAACAGAACCAGGCTTAGAAATGAAACCTGGGTGGACACTGTGCAGGAGTTTCCTGTCAGGACCCAGAACAGCGCGCCTGGGAGCGGAGGTGTCCGAGACACACCTAGCTTGCGCACACTGGACCCAGGGTAGGGGTACACTTGCAGGGGCACAGGGTCCTGGTGATATGCCGTGTAGATCTTCCGAAGGTCCCACATCTTGATGGTTCTGAGAAGGATGGACAAACAGAAACGCTAACCTGATGCCTCCCTAGATTCTTTGAATGTTCTTATGTATCATTGATAGTTTTATTAGGTTCTTGTTTTGTTAGATGTTCTTGTGTAGCTTCCATAGCAGCTGCACTTATTCCTTGACAGCATGAATGTTTGCAAATGTGCAAGATGAAAAAGCACCCATTAAATATATAAATGTAAAAGTGTGTCGTTATGGTGTCACGCCGGCGGAATCTTCCGGCCTTAGGGAGGTGGTGACATACCCATCTACGGCACCCGCTGAGATGAGGGTGTGCTCATCACGGAAGAGCACGACAGTGACACTCTGCTGAGAATCCTGCAGGGGGCAGTAGAGTGCAGTCGTTAGAGTCCAGCCTTTGGGTGCGAGAGCATCTGGCTGGTAGGAGGGAGGTTCCCCCACTCACCACGCTGGGGAGCATGCCTTTGGGGGTGAGCTTCTTCATCTTGGAGGGGGTTTGTCGCTCCGTCTTGTTGTGGGCACTGCTGATCCGATTCACCTGCTTGTAGCAGCCATCTGAGGGACAGAGAAAAGAGAGCATCTCAGAACAGTCTCCAATCCAATAGAAGGGTACAAAAGGAATTTATATTCTATAAAAGCCCCAGAGACAGCTCTGACGACTTGTTACAAACGGGAAGGATGTCGAAGGAGGAGACGCACCTTTCTTACTGCATCTCGTGTCCCAAACCATGATGTTCCCATCTCGTCCACCAGTACAGAAAACGGCTAAGAGGGGGAGAGATTTCAATCACAGAGCCTGAGAAACATGCAGCTGTTTTCCAGCATGCAGGGTGTGGCAAGTCATTTTGCCATCTGTACAGGAAGACATCCACACACACAGGAAGGGCTGCTGCATTATTGTGGGCAACCGGAGAAAACACACACTAACCGACAAACTCTGGGCCGTACCTATCGGACCCAGATTCTTAGTTATAATGAGTATCAAAGGGTTTTGCAAGCTTTCAACCCGGAAGGAAATGGAAGAGTAGGAAGGGGCACAGCCACATCCACACTCCCTGACTCACATCCTGATGTAACGGTTACCTTGGGATAAACATTTCAAAAGGAGACATATCTAAATGCAAACTGGATTTTGCAAGTTCACTTGCTGTTTCCACAGAAAGTCCATATTACCTTTCTCCTGCTTTGCGAAGGCTACGGATTTCAGGCTGCACTGGTGCCCCTTGAATGTCCCCAGCAGCTCAGTGGTTTTCACATCCCACAGCTTGGCTGTCTGATCGCCTGAGGCGGTAACCTGTGGCCAGGAAAAGTCAGATGCAACGCTTACAACGAGCACTTTAATCATTTCCCCCATTAGGAGAAGATAAAGACCAACAGACTGACAACTCACCACTCTGGGCTCTCCCGGCACCCAGGCAATGTCAAAGACAGCATTGTCATGGGCCAACCATTCTACAGGAAACAAAATGTCAAATTTGGCTGAAAACCCGTGCAAGTGATTGCAAGGCCAATTACCAACAAATACTCAAGAGAATTCAAGGCAACTGCTGACACAATTAACAAAACGTCACATAACTATCAGATGTTAAAGTGACTGCTTCCTTAAAGTAGATGGTACCTTTCAGAATTGGCTCTCTTCGGCTCTCAGTGTTGTACAGTCTCACGATGCCTTCTTCATTGGCCACGGCCATAACGTCCCGCAGATCTCGGGCTAGAGGAAACATCAGTTAGGATGTGCACATATTACTTGTATCGTATGATGCAGAATTAAGCTGAGGTACTCAACTCAGCTCATTACATCATATAATAAGATAGTTCCAACACGATGCCCCAATGACAAGTAAAATCGGTGATCAGTAGTACTCCAGAGATCATGGCTCACCGGTGGAAAATGTGCAGCCAAACGGCGGAACCGTGGTGCCATGTCTCCCATAAGAGATGTGCTCATCACTGCGCACACACTCAAAACTCTCGAGCACAGAGAAAAGCGGATACTGCAACCAAAGATCTGCAGAAGAGAGGACGAAAAGGTTAGATTCAGTCGCCCCCGCAATTCCTCTAGGGGGAGTTTCAAGCTTCTCCACCCGCCGTGTTGAACAAAAAGTTGTAGAAAAGTTGGAACGTGGCTTACGAGACCGATGGGACTCGGTGCATGCCACAAAAACGCATACTACAGTCACCCATCAAATCAGTAACGAAATTTCGATCATGCCAAGAAGTAGGTTTTAGGCTGTCCAATGGCCCAGTATCAGTACAGCACGAGGGCATCTTGGCAACCTAAAACATTATTTACAACAAGGAATCGTAATCAACTACAGCATTTCGGAGCACATCGTTAATACATTATACCGCTTATTAGTACTTTGCATGCCAAACTGCAGCTAACTAGGCTGCCTGCTGCTTCTGTTGTACTAAATTGTACAGATGCTTACCATGGCGCCTCCTGCTACTGATGACTCCTTTATTAACAATCGAGCGAAAAAGCATTCTAAAAAGCTTTGGGAAACCACCTGATTGATTGCTACACCCTAAAACACGGCGATCTTAGTTCGCAGAGAACAGAACGCTTTCTTTCCCGTCCGGAACTGCTTTAGTTTTCCCGCGAACGAGAGAATAGGGAAAAATCCGAACTCCCCGCTAAAGTTACGTCTGGCTTATTGATTGGTCGAATGAGACACTATGCGATACGCTAGCGTCCTGCGTCACTTCCTGTTGTTCGTCATTCGGCGGCTGCAGTGGATAATGCCGATTTACCCCTGTATTAATTTGATCAATATCTAGATTTATGTTGTTTTAATTTAAAAGCTCGACTTTTGCGAACCATATTATTTAACCTTATTATCATTCTTGGAAATAAGCAATGTCGCTTTCTACGGCGCGCTCGTTTCTTTCAGAGGCTGGTTATGGAGAGCAGGAACTTGATGCTAATTCTGCTCTCATGGAACTGGACAAAGGTGTGCGGGTAGTTTGATTAGTTGATGAGAAAGATTACTGATAACTTGACTTGACCATTTGAAATCTATGTTCCAGGGTTTTTGCTGTTTGTTATACTGATAAATTGTTGACCAACTAGTGTGAACGACGTGTTTTGACCGTCATTACTACTGCTTCATTTTTGCTACTGCTATCTTGGTTTCTTTTAAAATGTTAAGAATGTTAATGTTAACATATGCTGTGTTCTGAATAGTTAGCCGGTTTAGGTATCTGCCCTATGTCTTGTGTGGTGTAAGTAAACGTGTCTATGCGTCTTTGGTTGCAGGGTTGCGGTCCGGCAAGCTGGGGGAACAGTGTGAGGCTGTGGTTCTCTTTCCGAAGCTCTTCCAGAAGTACCCTTTCCCCATTCTCATTAATTCTGCCTTTCTTAAACTGGCGGACATTTTCAGGCTGGGGTAAGTAATGGGTATTCTGAATATCTGTTTCCTTGAAGGAGTTCATCACAACTTTTTGGAAACATTGTATTTATTCTAAAGTTTTTATGATCGTAATTTTCTGCAACAATTCACTTGCTTTAAGGAATAATTTCCTACGACTCTGCGTGCTGAAGGTCACACAGCAAAGTGAGAAGCACTTGGAGAAGATTTTAAATGTGGATGAATTTGTGAAGAGGATTTTCTCAGTCATTCACAGTAATGACCCAGTTGCCAGAGCCATTACTCTGAGGTACCACAGGTTTCTTCCCTCAGCTGAAAATCCAGAGGGACAGCGAATGTTCCTTTTTCTGCAGTTCAGCTCTTAAGTGTGGGAACTCATTGCTATAATGATAGATGATGGTTATTCCCCCTCTCAAACAGAATGCTGGGCAGTATGGCCTCCATAATCCCTGAAAGAAAGAACGCCCATCACAGTATTCGCCAGAGCCTGGACTCGCATGACAATGTTGAAGTGGAAGCTGCCATATTTGCTGCAGCAAGTTTCTCTGCACAGTCTAAGTAAGGAACAATGTTCAGCTCTAATGTTCAGTCCCAGTAAGGTGAGGTGTTAAGCACTATTATTCAGTCTCAGCAAGGAGAGGTGTTCAGCACTAATGTTCCTCCCTGTAAAGAGGGGTGTTCAGGGATGATGTTCAGATCTTTGCCTTCAGAGAGTGGTACATTCAGCATGTCTTGTGAGTGGTGTTAGGCTGTAATATTCACTCTTCCTTTTGTCTCCTTTCCCATTCAGAGATTTTGCCGCTGGAATCTGCAATAAAATTGGCGAGATGATCCAAGGTAAGGGGCCCTGTCATAGAAGTGGCATAGGGCTTGTCCGTGCAGCACTCCTTAGGGTCCCCTTCAGCTGGCTATCCTCTACAGGCTTGGACACTCCGGTGGAACTGAAGCTGAAGCTGATCCCCATATTGCAGCACATGCACCACAACGCTGGGCTGGCCTCCAGCAGCCGGCAGCTCCTGCAGCAGCTCGTCACCTCCTACCCCTCCACGCAGATGGTCATCGTTACCCTGCACACCTTCACCCAGCTGGCCACCTCATCGCTCATTGACATCCCCAAGCAGGTCAGGTTACGGTGGTCCGGTGGTCTACGCTGCTGCACCATTTGGGGCGATTTAGTCAGTTTGTTACTGCTTAATAATCCTGCTTTCCTGGTTGGCCCAAAAGAAGGTATGGCTTCCTGTCTTATCCATCTTCTACTGTCCCACCAATTTAGATTCAGCTGCTACTCCAATACCTGAAGGAGGACCCCAGGAAGGCAGTCAAGAGGCTCTCCATCCATGACCTGAAGTTACTGGCTAGAAAGGCTCCCCACCTCTGGACGAAAGAGAACACTCAGGTGAGGGCTGTTTACCCTCCTGTCCAGGTGGGGGCGCTGTGCCGTAATGTGGTGAACGTGCGTTTAAATGCTGATCATGCCATGTCTCCATCCACGATCCTGTTATCTGTGCTTCAGGCCATGTGCGAATGTGCGCTCAGCATCCCATACAACAGCCTGAAGCTGGGCATGCTGTCTGTGCTCTCCACCCTCTCCGGCACCATCGCAATAAAGCAGTACTTCAATCCTGGTGCAGGTAGGCTTTGCGGTTTGGCCCCAGACCGGCCGGATCCTGGCTGCATCAGAGGCCAGCATTGGCTCATCACAGAAGCTGCTTGAAGCACAGGGTGGAGTAGCACAGTGGTTACGGGATACAGACACGTAACCTGAAGGTTCAAGGAAGGGCTTAAGTGGTGCCCCCCTAGTGGACCTTACCTGAATTTCTCCAAGGAAAATCTGATTGTGTTTCAAAAGTAATGTCACAATAAACAGGTTCCTGATGACATGGTCATGGATTAATGTGGCTCTGCCGTTGCTTTCATGCTCTGTATGTACTGTTATGTAATCAGGGGTACATGTTAGTAAATGGTATTTGAAAACTTAGTGGGTGTGTAACATAGTTTTTTATTTTTCAGAAAAATGAGTCTCTCTTGCCAGTGGAGTAATGACTATATTAAGATCTGGCTGGTTTTCAGTAAATCCTTTTATTACCGGTAAAGTCCCTGGGAGCTGAAAGAGGGAACAGAGCATGCTGTGTAACACACCCACCCCCCACTGTCATTCTGCCAGGCAGTGCTCCGGCCCCATCCAGAACCACTGATTTGGTCAGGCTGGCTCAGGAATGCTGTTACCACAGCAACCTGGCTGTGGCTGCCCACGGGGTGACTGTGCTTTCCAACATCGCCATTTCCTGTCTGGAGAAGGGTGGGTGTCTCGCGGGGGTCTCTCCTTAGCGGAATGCGCCGTATCCTTCCCCTCCACCGTGCTTATGCCATTTATGTTGGGTTACACTGTGCTGTCGCTTCAGCTAGGATTTCAGTTCTGTGCTCCGACTGTGCCAGGCCTCAGGTTGCAATGAATAAGTAAGGATAACAAAGTCTGAATTTTAAACATTATGTCGGACACCTCATTTAGGCGGCGGGTGTAAATTATGGATGCGGGGCCTTCGCTTACAGCAGTGCTCCCTGTATCCGACGTCATCTCGGCCGGTGTCCCCTCTCCCCAGACCTGCTGCAGCTGGAGCAGGACACGGTGCTGGGTGTAGAGGCCTTGCTGGTGCTGTGCAGCCAGGATGACGGCTCAAGGGCACAGGCCATCCTGAAGGTATGGGTTGCCTGAGGGTCTTGGGGATACAGATTGCCCCGATTGCCGGTGGAGCGTATGCATCTGGGTCTCTGACGGCTCCGGTCTTCCCCGCAGACAGCCCTGGCCTCACTAGTGAAGCTGCTAAAATCGCGGCCTCACCTCAGCCCCTCAGCCGTGGAGCTGCTACTCTGCCAGTTGCGCTCGGCCCGGGACGGTGCCCGCGTGCTGCTCTGCCATGCCCTGGCCGCTATCGCCATGCAGCAGCCTGTCCTGGGGGAGGCCATGCTGGGGGACCTCGTGGACCTGTACCGGGTTGCTGGCTCCTCCTCTGGCTCCGGCAAGCAGCAGGAGCTCCTGGTGAGTAGAGGTGTGAACGCTGCTGTGAGAGCAGCACCAGTCACTGCGTGGCTGGTCACCGGCTGCTGGTCTCTGTTGGCTCACTAATGGGTGTAAATCACTTAACACTACAGCTCTGACACAAAGCCAGTGATATACAGGTATTATACTTTAAAGGACAGCATGTATTGAATTCTGAGATGGACAGAACTCTTGTTTCCTGTTATGGAGAAGCTTGCAGGGTGTCAGGTGACTGCTACAGTGTTCTTATAGTAAGGTTTTATTTTTATTTACTTTTTTAAACCCGCTGCAATTGATACTCTTCAGTTTTGTGAATAGAAAAACATAATTGCAGCCCTAATTATGGATGCTGGGCTCTGAAAATGACCGATAACGACTAGAGATGCACCGACGTGTCGGCAGCGGTTCAGACCCATTTGACGGATCGGATTGTTGCCATTGGGGGAAAAATTTTGGGGCATTTTGAGCAGTCGCCACTTGCAGAAAATATTCAAATTGAATTGCAAAATGCCACAAAAAATCTCTTAAAACAAGGTGGCACAGTACGTTATGTATATTTCTAATGGCCTAATTAAAGATTTTGTTGGCATACATTTTTTCTATTTTATTTACTAGTTTAAAACTATTAATAATCTATAAATTAATAATATTAAAGTAAAAGGAGCTCTTATATCGGAATCTATCGGCAGTTGTGTATCTGAATAAATGTGGATCGGCCCATCCCTAATGACAACCTCCCTGTTACGCTCAGGTCTCCCTGGCGACCGTGGTGTTCGTGGCCAGCCAGGCATCGCTGTCGGCTGAGGTGAAGATGGTGATCAAACAGCAGCTGGAGAAGGTGGCCAATGGCTGGACGGTGTATCGCGTGGCTCGTCAGGCCTCCCGCACGGTCAGTGTGCCTGCGGAGCTCCCACGGCTCAGCCGAGGCCCCCGCCTTGCCTCGCTCACCACCTGTCGGCCCGTCGTGTCTGCAGGGCTGCCACGAGTTCTCCGGGGAGCTGTACCAGAGCCTGCGCACGCGCGTGGCCTCCGAGCACTTCTACTTCTGGCTGAACGCCCTCAAGGAGTTCGCCCGGGCTGAACAGTGCCTAAGTGGCCTGGAGGATGGAGACTACAGCGGAGCCATGAGTGCCATTGCTGAGGCCCTGCGGGCTTACCAGAAGGGCATCGCCTCCCTCACGGTGAGCGTGACTCCCCCCTACCCCCCTCCGGTCACCCTCAGGGTGATGGTGCCTCGGGGTGAGTATGGGAATAGCTCAGGACTCTTGACTAATGAGAAGGGCACTGGTTCAGATCCTGTGGATGGGTCACTGATGTCACCGGTGGACTCTTGAGCAAGGCCCTTAACCCCAATCGATGGTTCACCCAGCGGTCTGATGCTCACTTGAACGTCACTCTAGACAAAAGTCTGTGCTAAATAAATGTAGTGGCTTGGTATTGCCTGCCTCATGGTGAGGGGGGGTCCTGGCAGATAGGAGGCCTGCTCTCTGTCTCTGATTGTGAGGACTAACCAAAACTGTGTCACCCACCTCATACACAGGCAGCCAGCACCCCCTTGAGCCCACTCACCTTCCAGTGCGAGTTTGTGAAGCTGCGCATTGACACGCTGCAGGCCCTCTCACAGCTCATCTGTACCTGCAACAGCCTGAAGACCAGTCCGCCACCCGCCATCGCCACCACCATCGCACTCACCTCGGGCAACGAGCTGCAGCGCTGTGGCCGCGTTTCGACACAGGTGCGTTTGGGGGAGGGGTGTTAACTCTAGAATCCGAATTTGTTCATGGATGCTTTTTTTTTTTTTTGTCCAGTTTGCCTGCTCTTAATCATACAGTTTGCAGTGTGCCAGCATGCAGTTGACGCAGAGTGTGGTGTGCAGTGTATGTGGTTTGTGTAGCGTGCTGGCGTGCAATTTGCACAGTATGCCATTTTTGTGCAATGTGCTAACATACTGGCCAGTAAATGCAGTGCTCTCTCTGACAGATGAAGCTATCCATGGATGAATTCAGGAGCCTTGCAGGCTGCTACGCTGACCTGTACCAGTCCTCGTTTGACGCAGATCCCGCCACTCTGAGAAACGTGGAGCTGTATCCTTAATCTGGCAGGGATGGAAGCACATATGAATGGTAACTCTGTGTCATCATCATCATTCTGGAGGAGCTGAGTAATCTAATATTGCCTGCATGGCCGTCCCAGCGCATGGCTCTGGATTTGCCTTGACCTCCCGGGGGCCAGACAGCAACAGGGCTGCCTGCTAATCTCTCACGTTATAGAGGCTCTCATTCTCGATCCACATACTGCCAGGTAAGATGATCAAACCTGGTTATCTCCAGGATGGTCAGCTGATTTTGTGCTTTCTCCTGTATTTCTGAGCTTCTGTAATAGGTAGTGATATCAGGTAATGGTATTCTAATCCGAGGAGGGAGGTGCAGATAGTATTACAGCCTGTCACCAAGGTGAACGGAAGTGAGCAATGACGACTTTCTTCCACTCTCACTACAAAAGAGAGGGAAAGAAGCTTTCGAAGGTGAAAGCCGGAGTAGCTGACTGATTGAGCGCCTTGGTGTGCCAGCGTAGGGCCCATGTTGGCACATTAGGCTACTGCCTATCACTCTCTCTCCTGCTCAGCTTCCAGGAGTACAGTGTCTTGGGCTCGGTCCAGGCTGAGAGTCAGTATGAGCAGAGGATGATGTCCGTCTTCAGCCGTGTCCTGGAGGAAGTGGAGACGCTCAGCAGGAAGCACCCTCCTGTGTCCTACTTGGTAAGTGTGTGTGCGTGCAGAAAGGCGGCTCAAACTCACAAGTAGCTATGATGCTCAGTTCTCGCAATAGAGGGATCTGTAACTTCTGTTTCTGTCCATTGTCTCAAATAGTGTGTGTGTGTATATATGTATATGTATGTATGTGTGTGTATGTATGTATGTATGTATATAATATATAAAATATCTTTTATTTTTAGCATACAGGCTGTCTCTGTAACGCCGTGATTGCATTGCTCAAGGTCCCACTGTCCTTCCAGAGGTATTTTTTCCAGAAACTTCAGTCCACTAGTATCAAGGCAAGTATGACAACATGGGGTAGACTGTAGGAAGGCTCTTCCCTAAGGGATGTGACTGAGTCATGCAGATGTACGGCATGCCTTCAAAAAAATTTAATGCTTCATTGTTTTAATTGGTAGCTTGCCCTTTCGCCCTCCCCTCGGAGCCCAAATGAACCAATCGCTGTTCAGAATAACCAGCAGCTGGCACTTAAGGTGGAGGGCGTGGTCCAGCATGGATCTGCGCCTGGCCTGTTCCGGAAGATCCAGTCCGTTTGTCTCAATGTCAGCTCCACCCTGCAGAGCAAGTCGGGACAGGAGTACAAGGTAACGGATCGCAGATTCTGCTGTGCACAAAGCAGCCATTTATATACATCAGGCTGATCAATGATGTAATCCCTCCCCTTCCTAGTTTCTTGGAATGAAATTTAGACTTGTTCTTTGTGTGCGTTCATTTTTATTTAATATCTGAGATGGACTTCTCCGGGTTGGGTCAGACAGACCCGGAAGCAGCTGCACACTAGGGGGATTAGAACTAGCAACTTTCCGATCACAGGCAGTGTCTTAACCTGCTGAGCTATACAACTCATTTAATTTGGGTTAAAGGGCCGTTTTTATTCAGAAAAATGACACAGAATTAACTTTTAACTTGGAGGCTTTGTATTTTATCCCTCTGTATAATATCTGGGAAGTCACAAAATCCAAGGCATTCTGGGTAATTCATGGGGATCATTTCTCCTCCTTGGGAGTGGCTGTGCTTCATAATAGCTTGTGTGGCTGTTACCCAGTAACGCGACTTTTCCAGATTCACTGCTCTGCAGCTGTGTTATTTTAAACTTCGGGGTGACAGCAAGGCTATGAGGATACTGAACTGTAACTTACCGTTTTTTCAAATACTCTGTCATGACTCTTGTACTCTGTTGATAAACTCTCCTTGCATATGCACTTTCACTACATGCTACTTCAGGACATGGGGGACTTAAAGAGAAAAAAGAATAGCTCATGAAATTTCAAAGGAAGACACGCATCTCAACGCCAGCTGCATCCTTACTGCGCGTTCCTGTCATTTCTCTACTTCGAGGTTATTTAAGTGCAGGACTCTGGCTGATTCGCCAGAGGGAGGAATTGGGTCACGCTGAGGCCTTATGTAATGTAGATTATGCAGCTCGTTGGAGATATTAGATACAGGGGCATTTAAAGCTGGCCCGTCACTGAGTAATACGAGGAGCTGTGTTTGTACACGTGACATAGGAATGCAGGATGCAGGCTTTTAATGACTCTTCCCTCGGTGCCATTTTGCTAAATCTATATGTGATCCCTTATAGATTCCTTCTGAAAACAAGACCAATGAGATTGAACAGAGGGTGGAGCCTCACAACGATTATTTCAGCACGCAGTTTCTCCTCAACTTCTCCATACTGGGCAGCCACACAGTGACCGTGGAGGCATCTGTTGTGGACTGCAGTGGGATTGAGTGGAAGACCGGACCAAGGACAACCATGGTCATAAAATCCCTGGAGGACCCCTATTCCCAACAGCTGCGCCACCAGCAGCAATCACAGCAGGCTGTGCCCCAAGCAGGCCCACAGAGGAGTGTGTATGCCCGTTTCCAGTGAGCTTCTTGTGGTGTCGCCTGACATGCAGGAAAAGCTGACTGAGGAGGGGCCGTGTGTGGTCTTGGAAATGAAGACGCATAACATGACTGTTATATATTTTTAATTCCAAATATTCCTAAAGTTAAACTGGAATTTAACCAGCATACGCAAGAAGTACATAGTTTAAAAAGTTAATATTGGTCCTTTTAATTTGGCGTAGTATCAAGGTCATTGGTTTAGTACTGTAACATAGCTAATGTTTTATCTTTAATAGGACTTTATTTCACATTTTATATCATTTTTGCAATCACATTACTCAAGCTATAAGTTCAATACTATTTTTCATTGTTTCTTTTGGTTAGTAGCTTTTTTCCAGTGGCAATATAGTGCATCATGGAAAGAGGGAGGGAAAGCAGTGCAGTTACAAAGAAACTGATTCACTGTTGTGTGATTGTGGAAATGAGATTGGTGTACGGTGAGCAGTGCAGTAACCTATTCCTAAAATCTAGGATTTGGGAACCCAGTGCATCACTCGTTCTACAAAATAATGAAAGTCCATTCTTGAACATGATTGATCCCTCCCCTTGTTAATCTTCATACAGAAATAAATGAAATTTAACTAGATATTTAAAGTGACATGATTGTAATGGTACCTGTTTACTGTATTTACTAACAAAAAGAGGTTCACAGGAAAGCATACTTAAAATTAACCAGTAAATCACAACAGCCATACTGCTATGCACCAGCATAAAAAGAGACTGCTGAAAATAGAAGCAGCACATGTCATGTGACTTACCTTCTAACAGTTGTCAGACTTATAAAAAAAAAGTGTGGGTTATTTTAGGGGGAAATGTAATCTTTCTTTAATGATCTGGATGTCATTTTCAGTGATATCACTTTATTTTGTCTATTGATTCAGTATGTAGGTCATCATTCTTCCTTACAGCGCACTTCAGCTCTGCCATATCCAGTGGTCATATATGTATTGGTATTATCTGCATTTAGCAGGGTGTATAATTTATGTGTGTACTGAATGGGATAAGATCAAGATCTCCTTGCAATCCTGATCAGGATGAGTAGTTGGAAAATGGATGGAGAATTTTAGTTGCCTCATTGGCATATAAACGTCATTAAATGTTTATGTATGACAACCTAAGTAAAATACCCAACAAACCAATATGGCAATTTTGAAAAGCTTTTTTTCTTAAATTGTGTGCAATTTCAAATGCATGATGTATGCCCCTCACAATATGTAATTACTGGAAGTGGTGTGAGGCTGGGTTAAAATCCATCACCGTGTGCTCCACAAATGGATGAGTTTGTGTCAGGTGACAAGCTATCCCTAAGTGGTGCTACCCCTGAGACAGTGTTTCATAGTCCAGTCTGCTCCCATACATTTACTCCATTAAGGAAGAGCCTTAATGTTATGGTGAGCGGCCATCACGTGTGTTCATTCACAGCCATTCCTGCTCAGTTCATCCAGTTTGGACACATCCACTAGCTATTAGCAACCAACATGCTTAACGGTATCGATCTGGATTTTGGTAGCATCAGAAATTAAAGTTCAAGGAGCCGAACTAGCTATAATGGTGGTTCTGTCCTGAACCTTTATGTTTTGGTTCCTGCTCAAAGCGAGGACGGTACACGAGGTCCGAGCTGTCCTTACAAACGAGGAGCACCGGGCCACGTCAGTCCGATAGAAGGCAGTAGAGAGCCGTGGATTATAAACAGAAAAACTGAACCGTGAAATTCGTTAACAGAACATTATGGTGTATATAACACAGTGCTCTGCGTGAATACCTACGCACTTTCCGCCATACGACGACCGGCTGACGGTCCCCACAGCTCACAGAGGCACCTGGAGCCGCCTCGCTGTACCGTTAAACCGGGGGCTTCATCCTGATGTTTTGCGTTTGGACTTCTTCGCCCGGAGGTGTACTTAGCATTCCGTGGGCGCAAAACGTCTAATTAATGTTGCCCTTTCTCCGGACCACTGTCCTAAACGGCAACCTCCGTTTAAAATCTTTCCGCGATCTGCCCCGGACTGAAGACCGAACCAACGCGCCGGGCGCCACCGCGGGTACGACCGCCGACCAGTCGGGATGACGAGCCATAGCAAAGAGAAAGGAGTCGGGCAGCCGATAGGATCTAAATGGGCGCCGTGGAGAAGCGGTTACGTTTTTTTAACGGCGCCGTTCTAACCATAAAAAGAACAAGAAACGGCCGGCGCCACGCGACACCCAGCGAGACGGCAGCGAGCTTGTGTCTCTTAGCCTAGCCTAGCTCGGCTGCATCAGCCGGCGTTCTGGCGGCATGGGGAGAGGAGGAGCACCGAGGCGACTTCTCAGCTTTAGGGAGCGGCTAACGGTGCCCATCTCACAGGCTGCGCCGCCGTTCGGGGGAGGGGGAACATAGATCTGGCGGTCTCTCAAAGAGCGGTGGGACGTACTTCTGTGATGAGGGGTGGGGGAGACAGAGATGATGACACGGAGAGCCTAATCCGTCAATCTAGTGGTAACTGGGTGCTTGGTCGACCGGCCGGTGAGAAGCAGCGCTTTGGGAGGCGTCGTGTCGTATGCGGTCTGCTTGCTTGCAGTTTGCAACCGTAAATAAATGTTGACGAGCTCGGTAGTACGGCGGGTCAGCTGACGGCGGGGAAAATACAGCGAGTCCCGGACGCCCATTCCGCGTGTTCGCTAGTCCTCAAGCTAGGTGGCGAGGCGGATAAAACGATCCATCCGGGAAGTGAAGAGCGGGCGCTATCCGCGTCCAGTCAGCCGACCCGGGGAGGGGGCAGAGTTAACGGCGCTGCGAGGTTTTCGCTACGTCCGACGCGTCGTCCTACGGCCGGTCACCCCTCGACACGCCATTTCCTGGTTACCGCTAACTGGCAACCCCGCTGTCTTTCGGGGGCTGTTTTATTTCAGCGCCGAGCCGAGAGTCCGTAGAGACGTGCGCGTCCCGCCCGCCTCCCCATGACCTCCGCTTCTCGGACAGCAGGAGACCGCATCTGAGCCCGGCGTCGGCCTCGTCGCGCCCCTCGACGCCCGCAGCGCCACTGATTCGGGTAAGTAGCTAGGTCGGCCCGCTGCATGAGCCGGACACGGATGGGAGTACTTAGCCAGGGGTAGAGCCCTCGCCGGGGATGTCGGCTGCGGATACATCCAGGTGTCGTGTGTCTGACTAGCAGGCTAGCGGGCTAACACGTTCATTCTCCGTCATATTTCAGCTGTACTTGAGGGGGATGCTAAAGCTAAGCCGCTAGCGATGCCGGTGATCGGCTGATCCCTGGGTTTTATGTGAAATAATTTGCCCCAGTCACCCTTTAATCGCCGACACTGCGCGCTTGTAGTCCTGGGTGTGGAAACCAGTAAGCTAACGTAGCTCCTGGCTAAAAGGAGCCGCTTGGTCACGAAGGGCATCTTCCACCCGGACGCTCAGCTAGCCGGCTAGCTACGCCTTTTACTTTGTGTTAAATTGAAAACCGACTGTTTGCCCGCGTCCTCTGCCACTGCCTCGGTGCTTGGATTTATGGTGATATGTACAGCGCTCCACGGCTCAGGATGATTAAAATAAGACCGGTTATTCTGTCACTCCCGTTCCCGGTATAGGCACAGCAGAGGCAGAGAGGCATCGGGCAGAGAGGATGGCGCTGCCCCTCGAAGACGCCCGGAAGCTGGGCTGGATGATGCTGAAGTCGGTGACACGCTTCGTGTTCATGTTCATCAATAACTGCGTCGCCATCCCGTCATACTGCATATACCTGCTCCTGCTCCAGCCCCTGAGGCTGATGGACAGCCGCACCTTCTGGTACATCGAAGGAGTGATGTTCAAGTGGCTGCTGGCCATGGTGGCATCCTGGGGCTGGATCGCGGGCTACACAGGTAGGACAGTTTCTGCGCCGTGGAGGTGTATGTGTTTCGGCCCTTGCTATGCTGTGATGAGATGAAATTGGTTGAAAATCGATGCCGCATCCTGGGCTGTAAACTTTTCCCCTATTGCTGAGGTGTATTTGCGCTTTAAGGTAAAGATTAAACAGTATCATTTGGTTTAGACCGACCTCTGTGCTCATCAACCAGCTTTGATTAGTTGGGCAATCGTGTTTTTATAACCTAGCGAGCACAAAGTTCTATTTACATGCAGTTTTTTTAGGACCACCGGTGTACTCCTGTTGAATCCGTTTCATCTTCACATGAGAGTTGATTGTGCTTGTATGTTAAGAATATCTGGTCGTCTGTGCCCTGCAAACCTCACCGAGGAACAAGGAGCATTTTATGTTGTAAAAGACTGATGCCATAGTTTGCACAGGCACTTAATTCTGGCCCAATTTCACAGTGTTGGTCAATGCTGTGCTTTACGTTAACTTGCCAGTTAGCAGTTTAATGTCAGTTATTCTCATAAAATGTTCTGGTAATATTTTACCAGAACACAAAAGAAGGTAAAGCATGATTCATTTAGGAGGATCGTAAGATGCATGTCCTGGTTTCCAGTGTACAGTGCTGAAGAAATGCCGTGATGCTGAATTCTGCAGATTCTTCAACACTTACATCTGGTCATTGTGCAAATCTCTCAAAAGGAGGATCTTGAGTTTCCTTCCCTCTTTTTGAATGTTACTCTCACGAGGTGTAAGATCATATTACGGAAAGTCATAAGGCCAGACAACCTGAGCGTAGTGTTAGTGAATGGAATATTTACGCTTTTGCACTTTTACGCCTATGTAGCTTTGCAGAAATGTCTCACATGCATACATGCACTTAGTAATAGATAGGGCTCTAAATGTACTTTTTAGTTTCAGCAGTTTCTACCTATGAAGCGTTACACATCGATTTTGGTTTGTTCATGGAGTGTGTGTTGTCCCAGATTTCAATCAATTATAATTTTAAAATGTAGAAGGGTTCTCATCAGGCAAGTAGGCTGAAACAGTCATAAAGCACTTAAGCAATAGTTCATGGCTCAGCACTCCTCTGCTGAGGATGTCTCACTGGTCTTCTGACAAGCTTGTAAATGTTTAGGTGGCAATATGAAGGCACAGTTGTCTCCTTAGGTGTGGTTTTAACTTTATCAACTTACTTGCTTGCGGCTGCCTGATTGCTTTAAGTACTTTGTTTTGGGTGGTGTTCAGCTATGATGGCTATCTAATTTATATGGTTAATTTTCTACTGGATGGATTTTTATGTTTAGTGCTAAGGGTTAACTGGTGGTTGGGGTAGCCTCAAATTCCTCTTGCTGTAGTTGCTGGGTAATCTGAGCAGCTCATAAGGAGACAGTAGAACTGTGTTCCGGTTTTCCCCCTTTTTCCTTTGGGATAAGATGACCTTTTACAATACTCTCAGTTCACTCTTCAAGAAGAGCATTAAAGTTTAGTGTCTTTAACAGTTTACAACAGTTTCTGTGAATCAGCTGACATCTGTGAGGAAGATGGACTTTAAATGCTATCTTTACTTTATGATACCTCACGTGGGAATAAATCATTGTTTCTTTGTTGTCAGAAAGAATCTCATAAGATGGAGCAGTAATCATCTTGAGGAGAAAGCAGCTTCTGATGAATGTTTGTGGCATAAAAACAAGTATAATGGGGAGGTGTGTGGCTTGGTGGGTTAGGGCATTATTGGCAGAGTGATTTCAGCGTTGGCCCTTTAAGGTGCTCAGTTCCAGTTGGTTCCAAGCTTGGCTGCCAATGCTTTCTGAATTTTGTGTTGTTAAATAAATGCTTCTGGTAATTAATAAGTGTATTTGCGTAAGTGAAGGTATATATCCTCTTTTTTTTTTTTACACGCCGAAAGGGAAAGTTTTGGTTCCCCCTGTCAAGGTGGTTAAGGTTTGGGCTTCAGCTTGCAGCAGCAAAACACCACCATTTCCTTGCCACCGTCTGTTTTGGCGTTGACTGATGGTGCTTCCTTGGGCCCCATTGTGTGGAATGCTTCTGCCACTGTTTTGAATATACTTTCATTCCTTGTTTCAGAACCAGCTTTTCTGTGATTCCGTACTTTGGTTTATTTGCATGTCCCATCATTCTGAAGAATGATTAACCTTTAAGGGAATTGGATGTAGACTGCCTCTTTCAGAATTTCACCCAGTGATCAATAAAATTAATCTTAATCTTAATCTTCTTGGAGTACAAGGGTTGTACTCTACCTTTGTCACTTAGTAAGAAAATTAGTGGTAATTTTGATAAACTGCTGGCTACTTGTCTATGAATGCACTGACATACAAGTGAGTAACATTTAATTAAATCCGCCCATAAAAATTCTCTTGACCTCATCCTTTTAGCAATATATTAGGGATGGGAATCACTAGTGACCTTCCGATACAATATTATCACGAACTTTGAACCGTGTAAAAAAATAAATAAATAAATAAAATAATAAAAAAATAATGGTCATACCCCTAACATTTTATTAAATAGCCGCCTAGGTGAATTTAACGTGAGTAAGTGTAGCATTCTCGAAAAAAATCTCCTCCTCAAAAAACCACAGGCAGCATTTAAACAATGCAAAACAACTTAAAATACACCAGTATAAAATTTACCTTCTAATTTTAAGTTAGCAAAAAGCTACTTTTGCTGCTGTTGTGGCATAAACTACACCAAGCTTTCATGCTTCTCTGCTGCCTTGTCTATCGCAGGGCGATGTCTAGCAATTTGTGCCTGCATGTTTGTCTTCATACCACAATACTCAACTTTTCGCAGGACAGTTTGCATACAGCATGGCTCATGTCTAACTCCTCTTTAGTTTCAATTTTGAAAGCAAAAGTTCCTCCATACATTGGATTTAAACTGTGGAGGAGTAGCATAAACCTCTGCTATGCATTCCTGTTATCGCTAAACAAAGTTGGAAAATAATTTGCTCCTGCTGCCTGTCAATGTGGGAATAGTTTAGAGCGCACACCTGTAGGATAATAGAGGAACTGCAATGTTTCTCCACTTCAAATCCAAACAAATATATAAATTAGAAATTAATAGACAATTGATTTCGGAGTTAATGTATAGATACATGAATTGCTGGCCAAAAGAATTGCAATACATAACTGAATAGACACCCCGCCCATCTCTACAAGATATGTATGAAAGCAGAAAACTGCAATTGTGAAGCACAAAGATGTTGCAGTAGTGACCTGTACAACACAACAGACAGTAGCTGTCCATGTTAGTGCTTTGCAGTTTAATAAATGCATTGTTTTCTGGAAATTAAGTGCTATAAAACTGGAAGCTTTCATTTCTGTTTACATGACTGCATTTTGTTGCATGTATATAGAAATATTTGCTGCATCGTTTAATCACATGCTTAATTTGTGAATGTTTGATAAATTTGAAATATGTCTCTCAGATGGATGATTTGTATTATGATGGTATTTTAATAGCCTTGCTTTGGACTGGTTTAAAGAGGCAGTCTATGTTCTTTATCTTTAAATGTTAATCATTTTTCTGATTGATGAAACATGTAAATAAACCAAAGTACAGAATTTTTGTCTTTTTGGACTGTATAGTGCACAACATTCTGGGCTCCAGACTAACTTTTTCTACTGGTGGCACTGGTGCTTCTTATTCAAGATTTAAGGAGCACCAACATAATATTTAGGCGCTCCACTTAAGCTGTCATTCAATGCAACCCATTCATATTTTTCCCATCTTAACTGTATTGCTGTTAAATGCTTTGGAAATAAATATACAATTTACAGAAATAAGTATTTTATTTTAAAGCAAAAAGTCCCAAAATATTGCTTAAGAAAGAAAATCAAGTCTAATGGTGGTTTTTAAAACAAACACCAAATAATAAATTCACAAAGGTAAACGTAAAGTATGTGGCCAGCCGCTTTTCCAGCAATGCATCTGTCCCTGGTTGTTGTGCTTCGAGTGTTTCAGGAGTAGGGCTGGGCAGTCCATCGAATTAATAAAAACTGACATTCCAAACCTCTAATCGACATATTCTTGTCCATATCAGTTACTTTTTATTTTTTTATTTTAATTCTGGCTGAGCCGACTGAGCAACTTGAGCAGCTTGTACCAAAGAAAAATGCCATGTCCGTTGTTTGGACTAAAGTCCATTGTGACTTTAGTGAAGACAACACTGAACAAAATGAGGTCAGATGTAAAGACTGTGGGGGAAAAAACTGTTTCAGTGACAAAAGGTAATACTATCAATCAGTTTCAATACAAGCAATATTTAAAATACAGTGGTAATACACGCTAATAGTGATCAATTATAGTGATCAGCCACTTGTATGGATCAAAAAGCTTGGGACAGAATCATTGCTGTATAAATAGACGTTTAAATGATTTGCTTATAGTAATCAAGTAGTCCGATTATAATGTTCATTCTGGGTCTTTTTAAATACATAACATATGGAAAAATTAAAACTATGGCAATTTTTTTTATTTTTAACTTTTGCCTTGAGAACCTGTCTGCTTCTGGTTAGCTACCTGAGGCTAATGCTGCATGTACAGATATCATGACAGGAGTAAAAGTTATTTTCTCTCAATTACGAATATAGACTCATCAAAGTTTATGAAACTGCCAAAAACAAGCCAAGAAGATGCAGTAGGGAAACTACAATGAGCTGTACTGTACTGTATTATAGTGTATTTGAATTATACACAGTTCAGTAATTTATTTTGTCTAATTTGAAAAGCGTTTGAGACAACTGTACTGTGAGTCAAAAGAATTCAGTAAACAGTGACGCTGTCCGTTTTTTTTTTTTTTTTTTACCTTATATTCATTATTAAAGATACAAATGTCAATTACATGGTAATCTACATTAAAGAAAAAGAACAAAAAATCAGTTATAATGATCATCTGGTTATAGTGATCAATGTCACCCAGATGGGATCATTATAAATTTTGTTTGCAAGAAGTGCAAACTATTTTCTACTTTTTTAGGGGACTTT